AGGGGGTTGGATCCTCATCAATAAGCCTGAAGGCACCAAGGTGGTTACAATGGCGTGGTGACAAATGAGGATTCAACGCATCGTCCCAATGTCAGTACATCTTCTCCACATGTGGCATACTACGTTGGCCAGTCTTAGCCCTTAGCTTCAACCGTCTGCTTACATTCTTAGACATTCCTCAAATACTAGCTCTCGCATTAAGTCGTGAGAAAATGTTCAGACCGTGCCACTAACACTTCTACCATTAATTTGGTCGCCTACAAACTTACCTTATATTAGGTTAAAGCACTTTATGTACTTTTTCGTCAACTAATTGTCATGACTCTTAGCACATTTTCTGAAAGGTAAATCTTTTTAATACAGCACGTACGACACTATAAAATCCACTTAAAAGTTCACGTTAAATATTTAAGGAAAATTCGAATTAAAAAAAGAACTAAAACAGTTATTTTTTACGTTTTTTTTAGATTTTCTTAGATTTTTATTAGTGATCACTATACAAGAAAACTTTTGGAAGTCTCAGTCTTTGTTGAGTAATAAGAAATTAAGCTGTAACAAAAAACTTCATTTTTATATCTTACACTTTTAATAATATTTATTCCATTATCAAGGATACAGCCTACAGTAATTTGAGCATAATAAAATAATATATGCTTATGTATTCAGCGCTTGGTATAGTTGTCTTCTTACTAATCTCATTGCTAATATTTTGTGATGATGTTAAATATTATTTCTAAAATTTAATTATTTGAAGGAGGTTGATACGCAGAGTAAACAGTTCAGGTTATTTATATAGAGTATTCTAAATCTGATTTTCAGACTAATTAGTTTTATGAAATAAATAGTGACAAGTGGAGTTGTCTGTACTATAAGTTATAAGTATTGCATGCTGATTTTATATAATTAAAAATTCTGTCATTACACTGAAAGAAAGTTGCAGTTATCTTTAATTTCTTAATAGACTTTACTGCTTACATTTTTTTTCGTTAATACATTAATGTATATTATAAGCATTAAATTAGCAGAAACCATTATTAGTCTAATAGCTTTTATGATTGATTTGAAAGTCAATCAAACAACATCATAAGTACATCAGTTCATACAAACAAGATTATAAAAAAACTGCGAAAACTTATCTCCAGATGGATTATTATTAATTTTTGGTTTGGCGAGCAGAACACGGAGGGTTAAAGAGCAAGGCGCTACTAGTATGTATGTATATACCACGCTTCTTGATTAACAGGCAGGATTTCTTTAAAGTACTGATCTTCAAAGTTTCAGACTAAAGACGTATCCTACAGTTTAGTATACATAGGGTTAGATTTTTCATAAACCCCAAAAATCCATAAACCAGTGGCCAGTCGTGCTTGGGTACTCAAATATGAAGTTATACTTCGATAAAATTATATGACTAACAATATAATTTTGAGTATAAAAACACATTCCACGAAACAATATTGTGTATGAATGTGGCACAATTAGCGTGGAAATGAGTATACCTACGTTGATTGGGTATGATTTTAATTATTATTTAATGAGTTAACGATTATAAACAAAACATCATGGCACAAAACAATAGAACTTATATATAAGCTGGCCAGTACAAGACTGCACTTTCATCAAATCTTCCGATAGTTTCAAAACAACTTCATACTGCCTACGCTGACAACATCTGTAACGTCACGCTCACATCTGTCACATACAATCCCACATTTATTCCTAGTCCATATTTAATACCCAAAATATAATTGTCCATAGAAAATCAAGAAAAACCATCCCGTAGTTTAGCTTTCTTTAATAGGGTACAATTACATGCCAGTTAATGAGACGTTCATCACATATAGGTTTTTTTGACAAATATTGTTCAAACGTTAAACATACATCCAAATAGCATAAAAATACCCACAAAAATTGCAGTTTGTTTGATTGTACCATTCAAAAAATTTAAATTTAACATGTATCTTATGAAAAAAATCACGTTAGATAGCATTTATATGATTTGTAGGAATCTCCTATTATTTTTGATACAAAAGATCAATTTAAAATAAACCTATCAAATTTTCAAATAGACGCTGAAGTTAGTTTTGAAATTAAATGAGAAAGAGGAGATAAAGTGTGCGTAAAAGCTTGCATGTAAGTTCATTCACATGAGAGAAACAATTGCTGGCTTTACTGCCATCATTAGCGTTCCTCTCACTTATCTGAACTTTTTTCCTACTAACTATGTGAAGAACGTTCTTAAGTCTAAAAATCACTTCAATCACGAATTAAAAAAATTGTGAAAGAATAAAACACAATAAAAATTAATTATTTTATTTGTACAGTGCAAAAAATTTTTTTTTTAATTTTGAAAATTTGGAAAAAGTATGAAAAATTGTGTAATTAATGTTTTATTTTAAAAGTAACAAATTGGTAATAAGTGAATAAATGTTTTTATAACATAATATGAGTTGCTTTGCTAATACATAATAATTTCAAAATTTTCGAAACATGTACGTAAGAAATATGTTTCATTTAATAAATTATCTATTTATTCAACATGCAATTTAATGAAAAAAAAAATAATACACAGTAGATCAAAATTTACATTAAAAATAAGCCATGAACTGTACGACAAAATAAGGTAATCGAGTTTCTCATACCAGGGACGTTCATAGTAGAGTAGGTAAGGGCCTTGACCAGTGTGCATAAGGTCCGGGGTTCGAATGTCTTAAAAAACTGTTTTTTTTTTTTTTTTTTTTTTTAAATCATTGAATTGGTTTGAAGAAAAAAAAATTATTACATAAAATTGAAACTGTGTGGCATGGTGATGTGATGTGGCGTCATGTAGTGTAGAGGAAACTTGAAGTGCGTCACGAGGGAGGTGGTGAAGGGGAAGAATCAAGTAAAATTTATTCAAAAGGTATGAGCTTAACTCATTTGAGTCTACGATCCGTAGAGACTGCTTGAATTAATCTTTTTTTGCACAAAATTACGCTAACTTTGCTCTTTTGTAACTAGCTTATTGGTTGTAATCACTTAATATCGAATAAATTGCAAGGGTGATTCTATGTGTATACGACATTGGTACATTTTCTATGGATTACTTTAAAGTACTAAAAGTGAAAAATTCAGTTACACTGATAAGTATTTATTAGTTTGATTTCAACGGTTATTATACATTTTGTTTAAAAGGTTTGTCCACTAATTAAAAACAACAAAAACGTTAAAAAAACTACTTAAATCTAATTATTAAATTGTTAGAAATAGAGTGTCAAAATTTCAGATTCATCGACAACATAAATTTAAAAAAAATTAGATTTCAAGTTCTATTTTTTAACATGGATTCTTATAGAAACGACAAATTATTTTACAGTTAAAGTTGTGTATCATTATTTCTAGCAATAAGATAGTAATCAAAAATATACAAAATATAAGCGTATTACATAATAAAAAGATTGACATCAGAAATTTTGAACTGTATGACTTTAGTGAGTATCTAAACAATTTTGTTAATTACTGTTAACTAGAACATTTCTTTATCTTAAAGTTCTTGTTGAAATTAAATAGTAGAAGAAATACAAAAATTAATGTTATAGAAAATAATTTTCATGACGGTTGTAAAAAAAGTAAATATGTTGAAAGTTGATTAAAAAAGTATTGAAAAATAAGAAAATAAGATTTTAAGTCATCGTACATACATTGTATTCAAATAATTAACATTTAGTGCTTTTTTTTGGCATTTTGAATCACATTTTTCTTTATATACTCTCTGACAGTATTAGCAATTTTCTTTGTTTTAAAGACGCAAGGTTTTTTACTCTCTTTTCACTTTATTAATACCGTCAGGTGATTATCTCCTTTTATGAGAGCTTTTACGATGAGACCATAAGTAACATTAGTTTTTGCCAATCTTTAAATCATTTTCTCACATACTGTACGTTATCTATTTTGAGTAGGTTTTAAGAAATAAGAAAGAAAATGTCTGAAAGCAGTATGAAACATGCTTATGACTATTAGAAATCTTAGTTGGCAAGTAGCAAATATATTGTACACTGTCTTAAGATGTTGTACAGTTTTTGAATTGTTTTACGAATCAACGTTACAGTATCAGTCTGCCGTATCTGTCACTAATATTCCAAAAAAAACTGTTAGGCTTAAAAACGAGACTGTGTTAGCTCTTGGAAAGATCCTCATTTTGTCAAATTTTTTCAAACCCACCCTTCTCTTTAATTGCTATACAGTTTAGTCTGACACTCTTTCCCCAGGTTCAAAAAAGAGTAAACGTTTTTTCTATTGTTCCATTAAAATAGTTAGGACATACTTTTTAAAATAATTTTCAGTTTCTCTTTGTATCTCAAAAATATTTTATCCGACATAGAAACACGTGTGTCTAATATAAGACAATGTTTTATGTCAACACATTTGCTTGTTTACTACATGGCAGACATTTAACGCTTCTGCAACCATTAACACTCTATAATATATGCTATAACGATTGATGAAGACTGCTTGTTTCCCCTAATCAAGACTTATGGAAGTTAACTGCAAATTGTATGCATAGCCTTGTATTTCAGCAGGATCAGGCACCGTAATGCCAAGTGATACGTATGGCATTAAAAGGGAGTATTAGTTGCAGTTCAGTTACATTACTCCTTCTTTAGTGCTATGTACTTTTTTTTGTATGGTTTGCCTAAAAAGTAGTTTTTCCGTGGGTAGATTAAGTTATTGGGTTAGTAACTGAGTACGTATCTTTCTTGTGACTAAAAACAAAGCTATAATTTTGATACATCGCTAATTGGGTCACAATAGTAATTGTCTAAGAAATACAGGACTGAACTTTATGATACGCGTTTTTTATTAGCATTAATCACTCTTTAATACGATTTGCAAGCATTTATAAAACATCGCGGAGTGGGCTCAAATCAAAAGCTCACTATACTTCGTATTACCTTTTCCTAAAATTTTCTTACACTAGTTATTAACAACAGTTATATAACTTTAATAAAAAAAAAACTCACGTTCGCCCATTTGGCAACGGCCTCGATATTCTTGTCCCAAGGTATCTGCAGGCATATGGGATTGCCATGCATCCGGTCAAAGTTTGGATTCTTTGTGGCTGCGCAGTAGAAAAACTCACGCCACAGCAACTGGCCATGTAGTGACAGTGGTGGTACAGCCTTTTTAATCTGCGTAAATAAGTCCACTTAGAAGAGTTATTTATGGTATTTGTTGTCAGATACACAAAAGTTAATTTTTTGACTACTTAAGCTCACATAATTAATTGTGGGCTAAGCCTTGTACTTGATTATATTTCTAATTATAGAGATCACTATGTGGCTTCATGAAAAAAAGCTCAAATGATTGACACCGTAAAAAAATTTAAAAAATTTACGTCAAAATTTTGTGGAATTTTCCCTCTTGCCGCATTTCAAGCTTGGTGACCCACAGTGTCACATTTTGATTTTTTTCTTTTAAAAATCAATAACTTTCGAAAAAAAAACATATCGCAATATCCATGTTTTGTAGGTAAAAATAATTGTACGTCCAAAAGTAGAAAAATATAGAAAAACTGATTAAAAAACTTTTTAGGCTAGAAAACTTGTGGAAACTCGGATTTTTTTAAAATCTAGTGTTTGAGCAGTGCAATTTTGTAATCTTGCAAGATTTTTGTTTGAAAAAAATGTCTACTACACAGTAACATACACGCTTATCAAAAGCAAAATTAAAATTGTCTATTAGCATTTTAATTGTGAGGTTACCAATACATTTAAGTTAATTAAATAGACAAGTAGTCACCAAACTGACGCTATTATTTTTTAAATTCTTGCGCTTATAAATGTGTATGAGTGCTGTATAAAATGTTACAAAACCTAAGCAGAACTTAACATTCTCCAGCGGCCAAGCCGCCTAAGTCAAGCCACCACCGCAGATGCGTGTATAAAAGGCTCCGCAGGGACATGGACCGATCACTCTGTTTCTGCCTTACGCAGCTGGTCCAACCCCAGATATCAGGGTGGCTCTTTAAAGCAGCGTGTACATATTTACTGTTTAAATAAACTTATATATCCATATATTTTCTTCCATTTTTGTATTATTCTTTATTTCACTCTTGGTATTGACAAAGTATAGCAATAGGTGAGATGACAACAAGGCTAGTGCAATCTCTTAGCTCTCCCTCACCATTGCTCACTTTCTTGGATCACTCGGGTAATGAGCCTATCCTCAGGGCATTACAAACCAAAGTGAATGGAAAAATCCTCTAGATAACGAATTGGTGGATCGGCGAATCTTTGGGGCAATACGAACTGAAGCTATCCCGAGACATTGGGGAACTATCGTGCCCAGTACTGTTCGAAGAGAGTTAACTTTTTGACTATTGTACAATTAAAAGGCAGATAATACATCCGAGATGTTAGCAACTACCGGTCAAGGGTTATATAAACCTGACTGTGTACCTACATGCTCTTAGTAAGGTATCTCGTGCTACGTGTTGGGGGCATTGTGAATCCCGCTTCGTACCCACAAGTTCCCTACTTTACTCCTTGTTCCTTACAATGCTGCCTTCATACTAACCCTTGTATGAGTATGATTTATTACCAAACGGACTTTATGTTGTTATATATATATA